ATTCCGAAATTAGTAGAAGTGCTTTGTAGTAGATTTCAATCAGTCTATTATTTTTTCATTAAGAGAACTAATCTCCCTTCCTAGGTTCTTTCTTTCTTTCTTCCTGTTTTTTTAAGATTTTATTTATTTATTTGAGAGAGAGAGAGCGCAAGCACAGGAAGGGGGGAGGGGTAGAGGGAGAGGGAGAAGCAGACTCCCCCTGAACACAGAGTCCATTGCAGGGCTTGATCCCAGGACCCCGGGATCATTACCTGAGCCGAAGGCAGACGCTTAACCAACTGAACCACCCAGGTGTCCCCCTTAGGTTCTTCCTAACCATATTACCAAAAGTGATGTTTATCTTTAATATTTTATTGTTATAATTTTATTTTATATCGAAATAGTTTTTAAGTGCTCGCTTCGGCAGCACATATACTAAAATTGGAACGATACAGAGAAGATTAGCATGGCCCCTGCACAAGGATGACACGAAATAGTTTTTAAAGTTTCCTAAGGTACCTAAAAATTTGTTCCTATCAATTTTTATCTTTATTAAATTTGTTAAGGAAGTCAGACACAGTTTGATGGTGAATTTAATTGGTCTTCCTACTGCAGTATATTTTATAGGCATATCCAGTAAAGGATCTTCAGGATTGTACCACTATAAATCTGATTAAGATCAATGTATAAGAATTGCATTGAAATGTGTAGGATTTGTAGTAGGGGATTTTATATGAATAAATATATATATATATTTTAGATATTTGAGTTTGTGCATTAAAATGCATCTTTGTTAATAATCAGATAGTCAAGAAACTGGTGGCTTCAAAACTACTAGTATACTCCAAAACTATACTTAGATAACAATAAAATCAAAAATAAGTATATTAAGATTTCTGCAAAGAAGTAGAAATGGTATACAATATTTTAATGATTCTCAAAAATAAATACTCATCATTATTGCCCTCTTGTTTATGAAATCCTACATTAAAAATAATAACTCCAACCTCTATAAATTTAACTTAAAGTACATAATAAAAAAGAACAGGAAAAAAAACTTTCAAAAAAGGTTATTCTAGTAAAAGGATTACAAAAAGTTTGGTAACTTGAGAAGCTACTCTGGAACGTATGCTACTAGTTCAAATGTGCAAGCTCCAACTTAACAAATGTTTAAAATATTTGAGTTTTTAAAACAGTGCCAAAATAAACCACATCTTTTCTAGAGATGACATATTTAGCTAAGCATGAGCAATATAAATCTTTCAACCATTCCATGTATTTGTTTAAAAGCCTCAGGAACCACGTGCATTTCTAATAAAACATGAACAAAATACTGAAGTCACTGGAGCCTAACAGTGGACTTATAAATCAAATTTTTAAAAGGGAAAATGTATTTGTCTGTGTGTCAGTGTGTATACATCTAAGTATATAGATATATACGTGTATATAGATATTAATAGGTCAACAGATAGGTTAGTTGTAAATAACAGTTATCAACAACAAAATAATGTCAGGAAAAATCTGGGTTCCATGCAAACCATATGTGAGAAGATAAAATGTGTAAGCCATGGTTATTTTATCATTATAATGACTCATTAATCATGAGTATTTGAAAATAAAAACTTAAAAAATATCTCTGATCCTTAAAAATACTACATATAAAAATGCTTTTCTATGCAACTATATCCAATATTAAAACTATAGATTTTAGTATTCTAACATTTTTGTGAAGTAAACTAATTCTATCAGTAAGTGACTGACAAGATTCTTCAGTTTATTTGAATAAGGATATATACAAAGGACCACCTTTCTCATTGAATTAGGAAAATATTTTATTACATAAAATATTTCAAATATTTTAAATAATTTTAACATAATGGCTTAGTTATAAAGATAGAATTAAAATTTCTCATAGATTAATAATCAACTAATAACTTTGCTATACCTCCTCATACCTTGCTTATAATGAATAACCTTGCTTATAAAGTTCTTGCCTATAACCAGTTCTATCTCTAATAGTTGCTCTAGGAGGTAAAATAAGCCTTGAAGTTCATACCACCATTTGATAAAACTACACTGTCAGGTTTCAGCATCAGGCCAAATTAAAAATAGTACAAAGCAACTCAAGGTTATTTTTTACTAACAATGAATTGTCACTCCTAATGAGTGAAGCCTAAGGCAAAGTATGCTGCTACTATAACACTATAGAGAGGTGATATGATGCTATTTGCCCATGCAGTTTACATTACTGCACTTCACTGAAAGAAATGCATACCATCTCCATTGTTAGCAAATTTATATGTATGTGTGGAAAAGAAATGGCACAATAATAACAAAAATTGCAAGAGTTAAAATTTTCATATTTTTTTTCTTACAGAAAGGTTTAGAGAGGTATGGCTGTGTGGAGTTTAGTCATAAGACCTCAGTTGTAAGTCCTAACAAGTCCTTGGCAAACTCCTAGACCCTCTGAGTCTATTTCCTCCTTTGTAAAATGTAATAATAATGATACTACTACAATTATCATCATCATTATTATGTGGTTGGTATATATGTATATATAATTTATCATTATTGCTATTATATGGTTGTTGATAGGATCAAATAAAAATACAGATGTGAAAGGATTTTATAATAAATCAAGTGCTACACATGTTTGTATTATCTTTCTGCTTTTCTTCTGAACTTATTTTTACAATGGTAAGTGAATTCTCATGTTTTCAAAGGAATTAGACTTGATAAAATTTAAAGCAAACTCAAAGCAACATCTCTGGGTAGCACGGACTACCGAATATGTGGAGAACTGATCTTCAGTGAGCTGGGCCATTCTTTCATAGACAAAAAAATGTAAAGACTGTTTGAAACATTGTTGGTGGACATTTTTAAGTGCCAGAAATCAATTGATAATATCTGGCTGTAATACTTAGCACCTGTAATTTTGTACAGGACTAATTTTCAAGGAGATGTGACGTTTTGGTAGTGATTATCTACATTCACAATAGTAAATGTTAGAATTGTTTTATAAATTTAGCTTCATAATATCTAATTCTTTAAAAGTTCTGGATATTAATGACAGGAATTGGTTGCTCTAATCTGATCAGTTAGGGATAGGAAGAGATGTCTGGAAACTGCAAAATGTCTTTATGCTTAGAGTGTGTTTTATAAAACCCCAAGGAAAATAACTCAAGAAAGATTTGTCTCATCTTCTGGACTAAACTGAAAATTCAAGTTTACTTGCGATTTATTTGAAGAGGATTCAGGAATGGACTATTTTGTGACAAGAACTGTTCCTCTTTGCTTACCTGCATGACTTAAAAGGCACTGTTCCTTCACAAAGGGAGCTGCACGTGTTTCAATTAGAGCCCAGAGAGAAGACTCCAGGCCTGACCAAATTATTTCAGATTTCTCTATTTATCTAGTCACTGGCCTATGAAAGGCTATAATTCTCTTTAGGGCTATAGAGGAGATCCAGTTAGCTTATTTCTAACCCCTGTTGTTCCTTATTTTCTAATTCTAATAGTTTAAAGAAAAATTAAAAGCAGGCAACATGAGTAAATTCTAAATTGGAACTCAATGGGATGGTTCTAACTGCCTGTTCATTTAATAAATTTAATGAGGAAGAAATTGAGTTTGTTAACATTATGATTCTTTTGTCACTCTGTGATAAAGCACCTTACATTTTCCTGCAGAGTAAAAAAAAAAAAAAAATCACACAAATAATCTCCATTGGTATATGAAAGAACGGTGCAATAAATTGTCCTGTTCTTGTCCTCAAAACAAGCAATGGTAGATAACTTAGCTCAATCTTAAAGATCAATTGAAATACTGTATGGCCTTAAAAAATTTTCACTTTCCTACAAAATTTTCACTAATTCAATCTCTACTTGCCTATTTCATCCTGTTCCAGTCATAGTCATCTTCTACTGGCCTCTCATCTATTCAATCTAAAAAAAAGAAATTTTTCCTATAGCCAAATACATAAATTTTAGTTTTATTCATAATTTCATATGATCAGAAGTGACTGCTATGCCATAACTATTTCAAATTATCTTTTAAATAAAAGAAAAAAGTAGGTAACCACCCAAATTGCCAGTTTTCTTTTTTTCCACGTCCTTATATTTTTACATTATAATTTTATTGTATATTGGGTTCCCCTCCTCCACAACAAAAATTCAAGTGATAATACTTAACATGTTTGATGGCCTCTTGCCTTTTAAAGTCATGTGGGCACGTGCTAATTTTCAAGCCAAAGGTGTCCCAGCCTACGAGACAGACTTGGCAATTTCTATAGCTTAAATAGAGTTCAGATAATTATTCAGTCACAACATTAAAAAATGTTGACAATATGAATTTAAAAGTACACATGAACAGTATCTTTTTTGTTTATTGAAAACAGTTCACATTATTTGTAGTGAAATAAAAATCATGCCTTGATTAATGTAATTTTAAAATATCAAACTCTTATTGGAACAAAGTATACATTTAATTCTTGGTATTTAGATTTAATATTCTTTAATACTAACAAAGATTATGTGTATGCATTGGAGGAAGACCATACACTCTCATGTCTGAGCTTCTCTCATCAGTTAAGAAATAAATTGTATACTGAAAAATGCATGTATTTGAAGTTTTGACCTAACACAGTAGATTAAGGTTTAGACAATATTTACTTTGCTGCATTTTGACTCAGAAAGGGTCGTATGTGAAGATATGACCTACAATGGTCTCTTGGTAAGAAGATTTATATTCAATACAGTGAGATATAAAATAGTTACAAAATAAGCTGCAACTTCATAGCTACTCATTGGTAAAAGTCTGTGGTTAATACATTTGGATAAATAACTCAAGTCAGCAGCAAAGTGGTTAAACATTTGTGATTTGATTTTATCTCAGCTTGGAATGTGGTTGGAGTGTCCCACTTCTAACAACTGTTTGCTAAGTTAAGGCTTCAGTGTTTACACAGTGTTGAATGAAGCAGCCTGGTCACCAGATGTGATTGCTTCCCCAGACTGCCGTTTTTTCAGTCAGATCACTGTCCTCATGGTCCCTGTTCCAACCTTCTTCCTCAGGACATCCACCAGCCTTTCCAACCTAAGTTGGGGGCAGGAGGGCGGGAAGGGGGGGGGAAGAATACAAAAAGTGCAGTTATTGTCAGGAATGTTTTGGCTGAAAAAGAACAGTATTTGCCTGTGACCAAGCAGTGCTAGTAGTCATGTTAAGAGACAAAGCATTACTGTCAGCAAGACACACTGGTGCAGAGTGCCAAGTATCTGAGGTTAAAAAAACAGTAACAACACAAACTTTAACCCAGATCTTCAGATTATGTCAGCTTTAGATGCTACATGAAAAATATACCATACTCATTTCAGTACATTTACCTGCTTGCGTTAAGGCTGCGGATGAATCATTTACTATGTAATGAGAAGATGGTACATGAAACGCAGAGCAGTTTCAAACTGATTTTTACCTAAGAAGCACATATTTCAGTACAGAAATACCATCGCTCTTACACCTGTTACTTAGCTACATTAAGTGACACACTGGTATGTTACACAATTCTGACACATGACATTTCTTCCTTCCCCCGAAAGTCAGCTGATGAAAATAATTAGGAATTAGCCAGTTGGAAAAAAGCTTCACGTTTTAGTGGCATGAAAATCATTTAAATATACACAAATGATTTGATGCTAATAAAAACCAGACTTTCTGTAGTACATTTAAAAAGAAGCTTCTATTCTGAGTAATATAAACAGGCTAGCAATGATTCTAGTTTCTAGTCAAAGACAAGTGATTTTTTTTTTAGTTAATTAAAAAAACTCACCAATTATACTGAAAATAAAGAGTTCAGAAGTCCATTCTGTACTGTTCTTAGGCTACCTATGGGTGGGAGATGGCATTCATGCAGATCAGTGAGATTTTGCTTGACAAGAGATGATGGAATCAGACCATTAATTTTTTTCCTTTCCTTTTATTTTTTTACTGAAAACATAAAACATCAACAAAAAATCCCGTTTGATGTTACACACAGAGAAATCTTCCAGTTTTCACATACACAATCTTCCTCCTCAAAGACTGGTGAGCGACACAGTCTAGTCTGCTCCAGCTTGCCTCATTTATATGGATCCATGCATGAGGGTCCTTTGCAAATAAACACAGCACAGAGCTAGACACTAAAGGAATGAGGGTATTCTTAGTGTCATACACACTGGTTTACATGGCTAATCAGCTGCATGCAACTCTGAAAGCTAGCTCAAGTTTACTGCATGATTCTGCATATGCTGAGTTCTGTTAATAGAAAACAAGAGGATGAAACAAAATAATTCAGTGCATCAAAAATCTTTGCTTTGAGAAATGCTAGTATTTAGAGTAAAAAGGCAAATCTTGCCTAAGTTTATTACTACAAATTTCTCAAATGTAAAAAATTATCCAAAAGTATTATGCGTCCACTGAAACAGCTTCAGACTACTGAATGAGAAGATTCACTGGACAATTCACCCTGTTCACAGGCCAATCTGTATTAGTTGGATTTTCCCTCGTGATAAAAACTAGTGCTATCTTATACACTCTGAAAATGATGATTTTATAGGATTACATAAATTCTTTAAGACAAAGTTTCACTAACCTAAACTTTGGAGGAGGGGCAAGAAAAATATCAGTATGAAAATTTAAATGTATTTTTAAAATATGATAGTAACCTCAATTAACTTAAAAAAAGGACTCCCGCTAGAAATATTGACAGGCCATTTAACAGCATTTTTTGGCATACATTGCAAAAAAGCCAGAAAATATTACTTTCAAGTTGGTTAGTTATATCCCTCCATCCTCATTTATACTACTATCAAAAAAATCTTCTTCGTAATGTCAAAGTAAGCTGTACTCTGCGGAGTTACTATTATTACTACAAACTCAGAATCAGTGGAACTCCACATTACCGGGATGAATCGGTGTTGTGCCTCTTTTGACCTCTCCTTTACTAACAGGCTTATCTACTTTAGTTTCCTTTTTATACATTAGGACATATTTCCATTTAGAACTCATATCTTGCTAAGGTAAGAGGTTAGAAGGAAAGACTTAAATATCATGTCTTGCGCTGTCTTTACTATGTTTCAACAATTACTAGATCAACCACATTCTCAGTTTATCCAGGTTGAATGATGTATGAAAATTTGATCTCAGAAGTGAAAAAAATGTCAATTACTTAGTTCTGTAAAAGCTTACTGACTTCTGAAACACAATGAAGCACCTATTCCTTCCTGTAAGGAATGGAATACACCTGCCAAATGTGGACGGTGCCAACAGGAAGGTAGCTGTGTACGGCTGTTGAAGCACCTTGCAGGATTCGCCCACAGGCTATTCTTTACTGTCCAAATCGACAATAGCCTTTAAAAAATTATGTAGCTTACTAACTTGGGTTCCAACTGCTTTACATGTTACTCAATGATAGTTTCCCAAGGGCTTCATGAAATAGGAAAAGGGTTAGAGCTAGGATTAGGATTTCTCCATTTTAAATATGAAGATACTGAAGCACAGACAAGTAAACACTTATACAAGGCCTGTGGTAAAACAGTAAGGTATCTGGGCCTGGTTTTCTTGTTCGCAGTTCAAAGCTAATTCCATGAGGGCTTTCAGACTATAGGTTGATGGATTATTTAGCTTCATTAAAAAATTTTCTCAAGTTCTTACTGAAGTCAAATTGGGAAAGTAATTGTTGGTGTATTTCACCTGCTATTTTAGTAACACATTAAGAAAGTAAATCGATGACAGTGCACGGAATTAGAAAATAATAGTTACAAACTACTATTTGCTATAGTACAATTTCTATATAAATTTGAAAAATATACTTAAAGCTATATTTTATTTTATTTTATTTTTTTAAAGATTTTATTTATTTATTTGAGAGAGAGAGAATGAGAGCCAGATAGCACGAGAGGGAAGAGGGTCAGAAGGAGAAGCAGACTCCCTGCTGAGCAGGGAGCCCGATGTGGGACTCGATCCCGGGACTCCAGGATCATGACCTGAGCCGAAGGCAGTTGCTTAACCAACTGAGCCACCCAGGCGCCCTTTAAAGCTGTATTTTAGATAGAAAACTTATTTTTTCAATTAACATTATTTTTATATTTTCTACGTATTCAGACAATATATATGTACTACAATGGAATACACACTTTTCTATAGGTAGATGAACATAGTTATTTACCAATTTTCTTAATCAGTGTACTTTTATTTTTCACTCTTAGTGAATATTGTGATATATTTTAAACAGTAATTCTTTTAAAAAATTAACTTATTTCTTAAAATTAATTAATTTTTTTAAAGATTTTATTTATTTATTTGACAGAGAGAGAGATAGCGAGAGCAGGAACACAAGCAGGGGGAGTGGGAGAGGGAGAAGCAGGCTCCCCGCTGAGCAGGGAGCCCGATGCAGGACTCGATCCCAGGACCCTGGGATCATGACCTGAGCCAAAGGCAGACGCTTAACAATTGAGCCACCCAGGCGCCCAAAATTAATTAATTTTTTTAAAGAGACTGCGTGAGTGGGGTGGAGGAGGGGCAGAGGGAGAGGGAGAGAGAGAATCTTAAGCAGGCTCTAGATCCAGTGTGGAGCCTGATGGGGGACTTGATCTCCCCCCACTCCCCCGTGAGATGATAACCTGAGTGGAAATCAAGAGTGGGATGCTTAACTGAGCCACCCAGGTGCTCCAAATGGTAAGTAATTCTTAATACTGATTATGTGCCAGGAACTATGAAGTAAATTATGCACACACTTAATTTTCATGATAACTCCAAGGAGTAGACATCATTGGCTGACAAAACCAAAACACATAGACAGTAATTTGATCAGAGTCCCACTGCTAGTGAGTTTTGGAGCTAGGATGCAATATTAAGTCTAATTCCACCTCTTTGATCTCTCTGATGTGCTATACTAGTTCCAAAAGCACAACTTTTAAGGCTTATTTCTAAATTTTGGTGGGCTTGAATTACTCTTACTGATTATATATGTATATGTGTGTGTGTGTGTGTGTGTGTGTGTGTGTGTGTGTATATATATATACATATATGTATTTTTTTTCCAACAGAAAGAAGTGAAAACAGAACAAATTCCTCATCACCAACAGAATTGTACCAAAGTAAAAATCTCACTGTAGGTTCCATTTTTGAGAGTAATTCTTGTAAAATTATTCCTTCTATTTTAGGCAATGAGGTTATCCCATCAAACATTTGGCTTTAAAAAATTTTTTGTTCAAGGAGAAAGAAACAGGGACATCCAAGAGAGATGGATAACAACCTCCATCTAGCAGGCGACAGAGTAAAACTACTTGAAATGCTTCACTTAGGGTTTGCCATTAGTATCAAAGATCTTGCCTGCTTTCAACCATGGCAGCAGGGTGAGAAAAAAGACTTTAAATGTAGTTTTTTCTTTTAGAATTATAGCTGTTCTTCCTCTGCTGGTCTTTTTAATGTGGATTTATCACCTTTTTCTTTATGCTTTCCATACTTTCCTCAAAAACTTGTTTCCTTGATTCCAACTACATGTTTATTATTATTTCCAAATACACAGCCCCTATCCCAAAACTCCCTTCTGAGTTTTAGACTCAAATGCCCAACTGCCTTCAAGACATCTCCTCTTGCTTACTGCACTGGCATATGACACTTAGCATATCTAAAACTAAATTAATTTTGCCTCCCATGCATGTTCAGTATTTATCTTGAATAATGTTGTCATTCATGAAGTTGAAAAAATTTAGAAAAACTTTGTCCAATTTATTATTTATTTTTTTATTTTTCCCATTTCAGCATGGACCTGTGAAAACCTTGTGATGAAACCACTAATGTAGACAGTGGGAAGCAATGAATGGGTTTTAATTCATCTAGTAACATCATTTGCACTTTAGAAAGATTACACAGGCAAGAATGTAGGGATGGGATGGAAGCAGATTAAGCCTATAGGTAGGAAGCCCAGATAGCTGCTGATTAAAATAATCCTAGTGAGCATAACAGGTGAATGTATTTATGCCATATAACTGTACACTTAAAAATGGTTAAAATAGTAAAATTTTATGTTATGAAGATTTGCTGTAATAAAAAGAATA